ATACAAACGTACTACACTTTTCAATTTGCCATTTCCAAAAATGCTTTTAGAATAACTAATTTTTAATTAAACTCGTCCATTTTTTTCAATTATTTATGATATTGACGAGCTTTTCTAGCAATGGAGGTAATAAAAGTGGCTTGGGACTTAATACAGTAAGGGTATACTGGCCACGATCTTTTTTTGTTTTTTCACAGTTTTCAACACAGAGGAAGATCTCATGGAAATATTATATTTGCTCACCAACTACATTTTTTACATAATCCTAGTCTTCTAATGGAATACGCTTAATACATTGAGCAAGGGAAAAAAAGAATATGATCATCTTGGCTATCTTTTGGCAGTATTTAAGAACTCCATGTAATCCATCCACTCTAATGCAAGGTTGCATTAAAATTGTTTTTTTGTAACTTCTATTTGTGCAATGGACATGATAATACCGGGTGTCAATTTAAAAACTTCCTAACTTAATACCTTTGTTGCAGTGAAAAGTATGAAAAATCGGAAAGACCGTCACTTTATTTATAAGGTGGACACTTTAAATTCATACTTTTCGCCTCCTTGTTTCAACCCCTTAGGAGGGGTAGATGTCACCCTGAGAATCCTAATTGGGAAAGGGGGTCAAGTGGCACATCGTTTCAAAGGGCGTTCAATTATCTTTACATTAATTACTACTTTGTTGCTTTTTGTACAGATGTTTTCCAATAACCGGGTTTCAAAGTTACATAAACAATTAAACTTGCCTGCAACAAGATTTTGGTTTTCAAATTACTGTTTAAACAAAAATTATGTCATTGGGTTTCCTTATGCTACAAATGATTAAAATATGCGGTTACACCGTTAAAATCGTTGAATGACAGGAAGAAAATCTAGTTTAAACAATTAATTTCAGAAGATTTATTGATTATTTTACTTCGAGAAAAATAGCTTTTTATTTACGGAAGAGAAATTGCTGCAATCAACCCCACGGATCTACTTGCACATTATCTTATAAGTTGTTCAAAATGTTGTCGATTTTCCTGTAAAGAGAGTGACAGGAAGAACACCGGATTGAGGCTTCTTTTTTTGGGGACATCTTAATTCCATTGCTTATGAAACACAACCTGCAGATATTGATGATCTTAAAAGTCAAATTGCATCAGAATGCCGGTCAATTCCCGGTGAGGTTTTCCGGAATGTCAGGGAGCAGTCCGAAAACAGACTTTATTATTGCTTAGAGGAAAATTTACAACATTTTGAATGACTTATAAGATAATGCGTACGTAGATCCCATGAGTTTTATTGTTGAAATTTATCTTCCGTAAATGAAAAGTCATTTTTCTCGAAGTAAAATAATCAATAAATCGGTGTTAATGTGTACTAACGGTGTAGAAGATTCGGTATCTTCTAATCATCTGTACCACAAGGAGGACTAATGACATATTTTTTTCTACAACTTCGAACCGCGATTATTCGGAAACCTCTGGACAAAAACAACAAAGTAGTAAGTGATGTAAAGAGAATTAGACGCCCTTTAAAACAGTGTGCCACTTGACCGCCCTTCCCCTTTAAGTGTCCCCCTAACAAATTCACGGTTCTTTCCGATTTTTCATATTTTTAACTGCCAGAAAGATATTAAGGGTGGGACCTTTTCAAATTGACACCCGTTATATTTAATTTCCAATAAATATTCATAAAAAAACTCAGTTGTTGCGTAATATCATGTAATAAAAATGACAATTCATCCGCAAAAAGTGTGCTTAGTATGTCGGTGTTTTCTCATTCGCATTTATTATTTCTTCATCAAATCCCCCTGTGGACAGCAGTTTTGCATGCTTCTATCCTTCATTTTTACACGCAGTTTCTCATGGCGATGTTTGCATTTTCAGCAATTTTATATTTTTCTGTTTTCGATTCGACTGCACTGCCGTTCTTCCAATTTTCATTCCTTTAAACTTAGTAAATTTGTGGTTGCTGCCATCTCCTTCTCATACTCGAATTCCTCGAAATGAAAATTGGAATTTATTTTTCACGTCTATATGAAAAAGCGCAAGTGTAAAAAGCAAATGGTGCCCGCACGCGATTTTTTTGAATAATTGATGAAACCTTGTTGGAAATGTTTTGGGGCTTATCGTATACAATATTGGTTACATTTATTTCAGGTATCATATTCAATTGATAGAAGCTCAGACAGGAAAAGACAATTTTCGATAAATCAATCCGGTACCGTCAGTATCCAAAGATCTCTGGATCGTGAAGATACACCAAGGCATCAAGTGAAAATTTTAGCTATTGACGATGGCATTCCTCCAAAAACTGCCACAGCTACTTTAACAGTGATTGTTCAAGATATCAACGACAATGCACCCACATTCCTTAAGGATTATAGGCCTGTTATTCCTGAACATGTGGCTCCCAAAAAGGTAAAATTTCAAAACAAAAACAAATTGACATTATTGCAATTTCGCAATTAATTAGCCCAAACCTCACTGGGATCCTACCTTCTTCGATTCCTAATATAAATATTTTTAAACAGCGAATGAATTGTCGAAAATATTCAATTGCTCGTCTTTCGTTTGGTTTCTACTGGAGATTTGACCATCCGAATCCTGCCCGAATTATTTAATGGCATAATTGCATTCATTGCAGGTGGTTGAAATTCTAGCAACAGATGATGATGATCGATCGAAAAGTAACGGACCGCCATTCCAATTCCGATTGGATCCAAGTGCCAGCGATAGAGTTCGGGCCAGTTTCAGAGTTGAGCAAGATCAAAGTATGTGGCTCTCAGTGGCTCTCAAGAGTAAACAGCTGAAAATATATATTATTTCAGAGGGTGCTAACGGTGATGGCATGGCCATTGTCACGTCCTTAAAGTCTTTCGACCGAGAGCAGGAAAAGGAATACCACATTCCGATTGTAATCAAAGATCACGGTAATCCTGCTATGACAGGCACCAGCACACTTACCGTTATTATCGGCGATAATAACGATAATAAAATGCAACCTGGGTCGAAGAATATATTCGTGTACAACTATCAAGGTAGTCATTTAGGCGAAAATGCCAATTTTTTCATAACTCCGTTAATGAAAATATTCGCGATATAATTTGGCTAAATATGGGGCTTTTCAATTTAATGGAAACTTTGCAAATAATATAAATTCGTTGTGAAATCAATCACTTTCAAAACAATAAGCTATAACGTAAAACCTTGCTTTTGCAGGTCAAGCTCCGGAAACAGAAATAGGTCGAGTGTACGTCTACGATTTGGATGACTGGGACTTGCCTGATAAGAAATTCCATTGGGAGACAAGCAACGTGGCACATCCGAGGTTCAAACTCAACGAAGATACAGGGATGATATCTATGTTACAGGGCACTCGAGACGGAGTTTATTATTTGAAATTTAAGGTAGTATAAAACGTCTATAAATATTCATCGCAGTAAAACAATCGCAGCAAACATCATCGCAGTAAAATTTAAAGAGGGAGTTTCCTATTATTGTTTGTATGCATAAAAGCATACATAACTTCTCATGCTTTTTTTGCTTAATATTTTCCTGTGACACACCATACACCAGAAAAAATATCAAGCAATACTAATTTTTTTTTTAAGAAAAGCTAGTCAAAGGAAGTTTTAATAAAATTATATCTATAAAAAAATCAGATAAAAACTAAAAAGTCTAACGTCTTCAAAATTGAAAACGCCCCGAGCTGTATTTGAGTGTCTGACATGTAAGTCCATATGAAAGCTGAAAGAAATCCCATGTTACTTGGATACCGTTTTGTTCTAGACTCGAATAAACTTTAGATATCTTCTGGTGTCTTGTAGTCAATGACTACATTTCCAACTGAACAGAATATCAAATAACCGAATATATAGTTGATATTATAACATTCCATCAACCGAAAGTAAAGTGGCAAATAACAACAAATATGTTACTTCTTTTGCAGGTTTATGATCGAAAACACACTCAGAACGATGTTCCGGCAAACGTTACGGTGACCGTAAAAGAAATACCTCATGAAGCAGTTATCAATTCAGGATCAGTGCGAATTGCCGGTATAACTGACGAGCAGTTTATTCGAGTTTGGGATTTCAAATTGAAAGTAAGTTTTGTCAATTCCACCGAATGCATTAGCGACAACCCGAATTTCTTTAAAGGATCTACCGAAATCGATGGCGGAGAAATTTAAGGACAAAATAGCAGATCTTCTAAGCATCAACCGAGAAAATGTGGACGTGTTTAGTGTACAACTGCGTCGAAAGCATCCTCCAGTAACAGATGTTCGATTTTCTGCTCATGGAGGTTCCCCGTACTACAAACCTGTCAGGTTGAACGGCATGGTTCTGATGCACCGAGAAGAAATCGAGAGAGCTGTTGGCATTAATATCACTATGGTGAGTACCTTTTAACATATGACTATACTCGTATAATATAGAATATACATTTTTGCGTAAGTAATCGATGTCTAAAAATAGCATCACTTCTGAAACGTTGTCGTTTTAAATGTGAAGGCGACATTATATTTTTGTTTGCTAACCGCAAGTCCGCTTCCAGCGTGATAATAAAGATCCATGTAACATTAAAAGCACGCGTAACGGCATACAAGAAGTACGATCGTTAAAACGCCTGGAAAGTTCTTTCAATTTAACTTTGTCGGGACCTAGATGTTATGAGTTGGGCCAAAGAAAACGTCTTTCGGCCATGAAGTGTAGAACTTTTTCATCCGCGTTCATCTGCTTCCGGCTGCAAATTAATGGTCGTAACAAATGATGTCGTTATGACAAATTCTGCAGTCGTTACATTCGACGTGGCACACGTTATGAACAGATTTTTAGCAAAGTTTTTAGCGCGTCTTTTATATCGAATATTATACTATTTTTCATATGAGGATATGAGGTATTAATTTCAATTAGCTCAAAACTCGTTTTAAAAGACAAAAAAGTAATTTTCATAAATAGTTTCTCATTTACTTTGGATCAAATTAAAATCTGTAATAAATTTTGATGTGTTGCCTTCAGTATAGTAGACCTAGTATTTTGTCTCATTTAGGCAGCCAATTTGCTTCTGAGTAGGTCCCTTAAGTAAACGAAGGAATAACAATTTTTTCATCTTATTCTTGCCACATAAAGTTTTAGATTGTAAGCTTAACGAAGCGCTAATCATCAATATCTGTTCATAGAATTCTCCGAAATTAATTGTTTTGGTAAAAAAATTTCCGGTAGAATTTTCTACTGTTTTCTTATCACAGACATCACTTCAATTAAAATAATAAAATGTATTTTGATTCATTTTCCTGGCTGCGTGTAATTGTTCCCATACTATTTTCTTTCCTGGGCTCCAGGCACAGTGTGAAACAATTTTTTTTGTATATCGTTTGCTTCGTTACGTTTCGGCAAGACAACAGTGCCATCATCAAATTTTAAAATTCGTTCAAACTCATAATTGATATATAAATGAACACAACTTCTTCAAGAAGAAAAACAAATTGAAGGTTTCAAGACACCCAAGACCTAAAAGAATCTAATGTTTACCAATTATGAGTGTAAATGAATTTTAAAATCTAATGATGGCGCTGTTGTCTCGCCGACACGTAACGAAATAAACGATATACAAAAACATTTTTTGTTTCACAGTGTGACTGGAGCTCAGGAAAGAAAATAGTATGTTAACAATAAAATTTATATGAAGTGCTAGAGTGTTACACTTTGATAAAAATAAAAGTAAATGGTAATTCATTCTCATGGTGCAGTTTTATTTTTGACTTGTGGATATATCGTAGATCGCGTCAGCTCTTCGACTCCTTGGAACCTTCCATACTTCCACCTTGGAAGTTTAATTCACTTTTACATCCAATACTATTAGTGCCCCTAGTTGAAAGTGTGACCCGTCTTAATCTTGTTTTTCATGAAGGCGGTTAGAACTACTTTCATTGGATAACTTTCTGATATCTCTCATTCTATAGGGTATCTGAAGAAATGCTGCTCAAAATCCTACTATAAATTCCTGAAGGCAGAACATGACGAAAATTCTCAAACCGTATTTAAATTATCACAATTTGTATCGCCCAGACTTGGGTTTGCACATATATTTCACAAAACAACGGTTTTTTCAACTGTTTCTGAAGCATTTTTATGTATTTTAATTAATTCTGAGTGTCTCTAGTATCCACGGTATACTTAGCGTTCAGGCTCGAAAGTAATGAAAACGACTTGTGTACACAAATTCAAAATTCATGGGATATTTCACGGAACGACGAGGAACTGATGATTACTGTCCATTTAAACTTTTTCCGTTCAATTAATGCTTACTTCTAAAAGCGATATCAGAGACGACTTTGAAGCTTCGCGAACAATCCTAAATATTAGGGGATTTTTAGTTAGAATTGCATTTGCACATAGTTTATGAAGTATTGAACTGTTCAGGAAGCGCCAAACTTTCAATCTTAAATTTTGGAAATATCTCAAGAAGAGTTTCTACTATGAAATCCTTTTTTACATAAGAACTTTACTCAAACCCCAATCTGGTCAAAAGTCAGTGTTAACTGGGAGATAAAAATAAAGGCCCTTTTAAAGAAGGCCCTTTAAATGTCTTAAATGAGCATAAAAACCCTTCACGCGTTCTAATATGTAGAGCCATAAGAACCCGTATTATTATTTTGACACCGCTAAATAGATTAGTGACCCATTTGGAGAAAATAGGTTTGAATGTGGTTTAAAAACTGTAGTTCCTTCCGTTTTTATTAATTTATTAGGTGTGACTGTATATTTTACTACTGTGTAATGTAATTATTGAACATTGCAATAGTGTGTCTTGAGATTAAATCTACCAACGGTATATCTTGTAAAATGTGCAGTCAGTTCGTTTATTGTATAAATTTATGTCGACAAAAATATATCTCCAGACTTCGAACGCTGAACCGACACCAACCGAGAAAAATAAAAGTCGCTCAAACAATTTTCTTTGAAATCTCCATTTCTTATCGAAATTAAGCCAGTAATTTAAGAAAAAGATTTTATAAGTCTTTATACAATGTTGCCGGTATCCATTACTGAATATGTAAAGGGTAGTAGAGTAAATTTAAATCCTCATTCCACCCGAGATTCGTTGTTATTTTTATTTTCTCGTATAAAAGTTCCACGCATAAAAGACGCAATACAGCTCTTTAAATGCAAATCAATACCCAATTTATCAGATTTCTGCCTTCCAAAGTCGAGCGTAAATAAAAACTTCAATTTTACAAGTTTTCACAGAACCAATATATTAATTTTCTATTCCTAAAAGTTTCCTTTAATTCAAAAATTTAAAAGGTTTTCTGTGAGGGTTTCAAAGTTGTCCTATTGCAAAATTTAATATTTTCTAGAAAATCGGAAAAATTCTATTACTCTATTGCTATACAATATTTCAGTTTTATTAATTTATTTCAATGGTTTGAATGTATTGAGCAATCGAAAGTGATTTAAAAATAAACTTTAATTATGGTTAGTAAAATTATTTACCTTGAGGTGAGGTTTTTAAATGATATTGTCAAGTGCAAAGGGTTGGCGTTTTAATAATAAAGTACTGCCACTCTCGCTTCAAAATCTAAAGAGTCCTTTGATTCCCTTGTGTTTTGTTTCAAATTAAAATGCTTGCCTTATAGCGCAAAGAAAGAGTTATATTCTGCTATATGTGTACATATATTAGAAAGTACTAAACCCTAAAAGCCTGGCCATATCGTTGCATCACACGATTAAAAATGAGCAAGAAATGACAATGAGATATTTTTTAATTCAAATTTTGCTTTGAGTGTTTATTTTCGGTCTAGATTTGGACATAACAGTCAATTTTAGAAGAAAAAGTCAAAAAAATTGATAAAAAGCTGGCTTTCAGAACAGTTTTCACAACTTCTCTGCCTATGATGCACATACTACTTTGCATGGAGTTAAATGGATGATCTCAGGCCGTTAATGTTTGAATAATAGTCAATGAATAAGTGTCATGGCATTTGAATCGCTTAAGATCCTATTAAGCAATGTTTCAAGTAAATGTGGCTGAGTTTGGAGGCTATGAGCTAATGAGCGTTAGTTGAAACTGCACCTGAAACAAGAAGCTAAATTTGTTCATAAAAACCCATTGTATGTTACGGTTTTCAGAATTATTCTCGGATCTGAGCATGTTGGATATCCATTCTTGAAGTTGAAAACCCATTGCTACGATTTCACTCAATTTAAACGCAATGTTTTGTATGTGTGCTAATTTTTGTAGGTATACAATGACCCATTAATGTTTAACGCTTTATACACCCCAACGAATTCTACCAATTTGGCCACATTCATCTCAGGCTGATAATTACTGGAGCTCCGATATTCGAAAAACTGATAATAAACTCTATTGCAAAATTATTATTTAGTCAATCGCAATAATAGTAAATAGAGTTAATCCTTATTGATCGCCCAATATTTGAAATGTATTTAATTTAACAGTGCTTTTTAAATGTATTGCGATTTTTATAAATTATACTAAAGCAATATATTTTCCTATTAAAGTCCGACATTTATCACGGAGTTTAGTCATTTTTTCACGGTCATTATAAGAAGTGAAAAATGATTCACCCAAAAGTACCCAATTATATTTTTCATTCTTTACATGAGAAATTGGTTGTTTTAAATGTAAGCCTGTTAAATTGCCATGTTTCCTCCTCTTATTTTCCTGAGTCGTGCTCGCGAGTGTAGGAAGTTCGAATGAATAATTGTTTTAAAAAATTATGATAAAAGCAGCCCCAAATATTATTCCGGTATAACAGTGCCATTAAAATTTGCTTCGATATTGCAAGAAGTGTAATGAAATACTAACACGAAAATAATAGTAAATGTGAAAAGCATACTTTTAAATTAAATTATGGCATTTGGTGTTCAATAACGCTACATCATTTTTTGAAGTACATTTAATGATTTTTTCATAGAAGAAATTAAATTTTATTTTTAAGGACATTTTATATAGGAAAAAGGTAATTTTAATGAATACTGGTCCCTATAAATATAAGTCGCGACTTGCATGAAAATGTGTGATTATCATGTATGGCTAATTGTTTAACAGGGTTTAACGTTAAATATATCTACGGGAGTTTTCGCCAAGACGTCTTCCAGAATTTTTTTTAAACTTCAGATTAAACATATTGAGACGATCACGTTGGAAAACATTGCATCAGCATAGGTAGTTTAGTTGCGCAGCCTCTAAAGTTACCCGATCAAAAACATATAGATTAATTTTTGCTGGGAACCGTAAAGTGTCGTGGTTTTCGATCACCCGGGGGTAAATCAAGATCCGATTCCAATAATTCCGGTGTTTGAAATCAATTGAATACTACTACAAAATTTGTACAAAGAAATTTAAATGAAATGCATTAAGACTAGAGAAAAAACATTTTCGCATATAAAGTTTTTAAAGCATCACAAGTCCGACATGTGTTTGTCTCATCTCTAGACGAGATTGTTTACCTATCACCCTGTATATTATTCAGAAATTCATTTTTTTTTTAAATGTAGGTTTGATGGTTTCAGGAATACATCAAAATCGGCATAATCAAAACTTCAAAATTTGCAAACAACTGAATTGAATATTTCAAACAATATTTGAAAAGTTGTAATTGAATATATACGTTAACACTTTAGTTAAACATCTTCTGCAGTTTTTTAAAATATATATGTACCGTATAACAAAATAGAAGATATCGCTAAGTATCACAAATGAACCAATCTACTAAATATAAATAACCTTTACAAAAGTTGCCGTTCTACAGAATGTAAATTATCGCCAACCATTTTTAAAAGTCTAAAATTTTAATGGGTGTGAATTATAATGACAATTACAAAACAAAATTACTAAACTAATACTTAATGTAAATTAATTCATAAATGTATGTAGATTGATTTGAAGTAATTTCTGAATATAAATACAAATGACCCATTATCTGAAACAGTTGCAGTGCTTGCCTAACATTGAATAGAGTTTCACCGGAGGAATTAATTAGCCGGCTAATGAATGTAATATTCCTGCATTGTATCCTTTGTACCTGCAGAAACTGCAGATTTGATGTGATTTCCTAGTAACAATTTAATGCTCCCGGTATTTTATTATTCGTTAAGTTTTCTCCGAAACTGCACGTCATTAGTTAATTGGGCAAAGCAGTCGTTATGTTTGCAAAAAACCAATTTTCATAAATGTAACCCGATCCGACATCTATATTTTTTTCAGTATCTAAAGAGTAAGATTAACTAATTAGAAAGTTTCGTTCACAGTTCAAAATGCCACCTAAGTATAAAATTAGAATATATTTCGACATTAAAATAATTTTAAAAATTGAAGCAAAATTTCTTAAATGAGGTATTTAGTTGACAATGTTTTGTGAAAATTCTCAATCGTGGTTTTGCATAATTTAAATAGACACGAACAAAGTTTAATGGTCCGAAATACTGGAAAACATCAATTATGTACACTGATCATAAAGTAAGAAAAAATGCTTATTATAGATGAAATGAATAAGCAACATAATTAAATAACAAGAAAATCGTGAGATTAATTTTTAATTTCAACACTGGCCGTCAGTTACAAAACAGTTTGCTTGAGCTAAAAGGTGCCCGTTTTCTACAAGATCTCTCGATTCAATTAAAAGCTGCCGCCAGATCCAAGATTGGTCGTCAGACGTTAGATTGAAGCAGATTTGCTTCAGTTAAAAGCTGAGAGATAAAAATCGCTCGCTTCAGCTAAAAAATACCCATTTGCTGGAAGATCGTCTACAGCTAAACGCGAGTTATTTTCGGTATTGATCTTTTGGCGGTGATAGTAAAAAGACAAAATAATTCTCGCTATCTATTTATCAGTCAATTTTATGAGCTTCTTCTTGTCTATTAACCAAATTCTTAAAACTATCTTTTCTTGAGTAAGCTCCGAGTATAGTATGTACAATGGATTGAAAGTATTGCCATTAATCTTTACTGGAAATCAGGGAAATATTCGAAATCTTCCCAATCATAAAAACGACTAATCCACGTCCCTTTTAATATTACATACTTTTATTTTATCGTAATGGAACTGCAGGCATGCAAAACTGTTTCATTCGAATTTTATTCAAATATACATTCGAAACCGTTTTTAAAGCGGTTTTTTTGTGTTCCATGACGTTCTTTTCCAAAGCTCAAAAAATATAATCACGCAGATATATTTCGCAATTTTCCCAGGAAATTAAAACCAACTTTGAAACATTCAACAGACCACCAACTAGTATCAAATATATTTTTTTAATTAAAAAATTTGAACTACATCAATGCAATCCGAGCTTCAATCTGAATTCGAATATTTGATAATTTTGCAACATTTTTTTAAATATGAGTAGCAAAGTATACCGAATATAGGGGATATTGAGGTTGTTAGAGGGAGCTCTAATCATTTTTTTCTCAGATTAAGTACACAAGTATTTTAAAAAGTCTAGGCGTCATTCATAAAATAGTTCCCTGCATTTCTATTTGTCATTGATTTATAAACAATAAATTACTATTTTCAAATCGGTTAATTGCCTACATGGGGTATTAGTCATAAACATTTTTCTATTTAGAAGCCACATAATCTTGATTTATTTGAAAAATACACTGAAAAGTATAAAACGAAATAGTGTCAGTTTACCATGAAAGAAATAAATACCTAGTATAACAACAATTGCGATTTC